GGGTTCCTCGAGCTGAAGGGATCCCCGAATTTGGTGCGGATTCGCAGCGATGTTACGGAGATATGGCGTTGAAAGTTCCAATGGTTTTCCATAGACTTAAGCTTCAAAAGCGTTTTATCCAGGTCGCCAGTAGCAAACAATGGAGCTCTGCTGGACAAACTAAGTAATTACACCATTTCAAGCATTTTATCGGCGTTATATGTTCTGTAAAAAAATGGCATATTCGCCGATACGATATGTCTTGTTTGTTGATGAACGTTTTATAAACAAGGCCCAGTTCGACGCTGGATTTGCACATGGTTTGATACTGAAGGATGGAGCAGTCCCAGCAATAAAAGATCCCGGTCATGATTCAGAACTGCAGACGGTATGTGAAACTACATCAAATGTCTGTGTTTTGTTGGCAGTGGAGCTCAAGTGCTAGTCAATCTTTAGCTCCGCCCACGGCACGCCTCAAGGAGCTCAGCTGAACATTAAAAATCTTACTGTTCAAAAACTTTTGACTGGTATGTTAGCCTATAGTTTGAAGTAAAAAAAATATTACTATTAATAAGGAGAGTCTGAGATTTATTTGACAGTGATTTCAGATTTCTTGTTTGTATGAAGGTTGAATACCAACAAAAGGTGAACATTTATTTATTTATTTGCGCCATTTTTTTCCTAAAATATTATGTAGTTTTATAGGAGTAGGTTTCATAGAGTTGGCAAATTATTTTTTCATAAGTTTGTAGGTACAGACATCTGTTGTGGCCGTTCTTGGCCGTTTTTATGAGGCTTTCTTAATAGTGTTCATATCGATATCGGAATTATATCGTAAGAAATATATCGTGATATAAATTTTGGCCATATCGTCCAGCCCTAAATTTACCTCATAGCTGGACTGGTTGATTTGGTTCATGGCTTTAGGAAAACAACATTTCTGGTGCCAAGGCCGCTGAAAAAGTGGGAACTGCTGAACCCTGATGGGAGTTTCGCCAGAAAAGTTACCATGGCAACCAGCTCCTTTCCATCAAAATACTTAAAGCAATACATTTACTAAATAATGAGTGTAGTAACTACTGTACAGTTGCCATATCTAGCGAACCTGTGCTCCTTTCCATCAAAATACTTAAAGCAATACATTTACTAAATAATGAGTGTAGTAACTACTGTACAGTTGCCATATCTAGGGAACCTGTACATATTTTTTTAAGTATGGCATTAAGCCTGTAGTGACTGTAGTATTGCTATAAAAAATGTCATTCGATAAAACAATAAGTAATAAAAGTATGAATCTTCACAAATATTTTAGATAGAAAGAACACGTGGGATGTTCGACTGAAAGTGACACTATACAACACATGAGCATGAAACTGTATTTATTCTGAATAAACCATAGACTGTATAAAAACATGGACGCAGTGTCCGTGACGTCACCTGTGGAGTTCCGATGAGCCTTTTTGAAGCTCAAAGTGGGCGGAGCCAGCCGCGTCACCGCGAGTCACTCCCGGATAATCGAAAATAGGCAAAAAGGCGGGAGCTGATTGCTGAAGCCACGCCCACCTAGCTCGACGGTGGTGACTGCAGCGGCAATCCACCTGTCACTCAAGTGGCCACGCCCTTAATTATGCAGAATTTTAAGGCTTAATATAATTTTAACGGATGCGTTATAAAAAACATTCACCCCCCTCACAGTTGTCATGAAGGGCAAAATTAGCTATATAGACCAAAACATTTTTTTTTCTGCTGTAAATTTGGGCATTTTAACATGGGGAGTCTATGGGATTGACTCCCTTTTGCAGCCCGCCTCTAGCGGCCAGTTGATGAATTACAGTTTAAGTCACTTTCTTGTTGGCTTCGAGAGAGAGCGGGAGGTTGCCGCTTGGAATAAACGCAGCTCGAGAGTGCTTAATGACCTCTACATCCCACATACGTTGATAGTGTGAGAGAAGTGGCGCGCGCCGGGGGCCCTCAGTGCAGTGGCCCTTCAGCGCGAACACATCCGTTACATTCAACTTCTCTTCAACTTGACAGCCTCGGAACGCTTTATGCGCCGCTCGCTGGGTAAACGGGGTGTGAAAGCCATTAACTGTTACAGAATTTGAAATATGTGCACTCACCATCTCGATTATCTTGGTTTTCTTCCCTGCTCTCTGTTTTTTGGTGAAAATGTACTGAGCGAGCACGACTCCGCCGAACAGCGCGCACATAGTGACGCTCGCCATCGCGCCCACTTTAACCACTGCATTTCTGTCCATGTTCGCTGCTCTCCGGATAGAAAACAAACCTTGTCGCGCATACACTACGTTTACGGGCTGTGTGGAAAGCGGTACACAACCACCCTACACCCTATCTCATTTGGCACTATATGTAGTAGGCATCATGTCCACGTTATTAGAACTGTCTGAATGCACAGAATACCCGGATGATACACTACAGTTGTCCAAATGTGAAGTACACAACACTACATAGCAGTCTGTATACCTCAATGCAATGCGTGCGACTGGACACCCTTGCCTTCAGGGGGCGCTCTTTCTTTGCTGATTATTTTAGAAATATTGGTACCTTACATACCAAATTAATATTCACACCATAATCGAAATAAAATGATTAAATAAAAGTACTAATAAAATAATATATACCAAAAATATACAAAAAAAACACATATTCACTCCTGATGTGGTTTTCTTTTTCTTTTCTTTTTTTCCCCCTCCTTGCAACCCCCTGAAATGTTTAAAGAATGTTTGTTTTGTTTGATGTTATTGTATGTATATATATATATATATATATACACACACATGGACATTTATGTATGATGGAGATGTGATTGGTAAAGTGTATATTTTGTCATATGCATTTTATTGTTCCCCATTTTAGTGTGTAAATTGATACTGTTCAATAAAAAAAGAGAACAATATGAAAATTATTATTATTAATAGTAAGCAAGACGGCTGCTGTTTAGGTGTTGGGTCATGCAGAATAAGGCAGTAATATGTGCTTTATATTTACTAATAAGCAGCCAACATGCTAGTAATATGTATGCTAATAACCAGTGTTGGGGAAAGTTACTTTTAAAAGTAATGCATTACAATATTGTGTTACTCCATAAAAAAGTAACTAATTACGTTACTTTTTATGGAAAGTAATGCGTTACGTTACTTTTGCGTTACTTTTTAAATCTGGACAGGGCTTGCTTGTTTGTTTTTAAAATAAAAAAGTTAGATTTTTGGCAAATATAAAAGCCTTTACAAACCAAAAGTGGAATGAATCAGCCTCAGGCTGAAGAGAAAGTGCATTTACATCCGTACAGTAGAATGCAGAAGAAGACATTTCAACACACGTCAGCAATAAAAAAAGACACAAATGTTTGTCTAGAGTCATTTTTGCTTATTAGTGCGTTTGAACTGGATCATCGAAGGTCAGAAGCAAACAGAATGGGATTAAATACATAAAGCATATTTGTGTTGTTTAACATTGAATTATTGCAGGTTTGCATCATATTCGGAGTTGCATTATTTGTATTCATTTTGAGGAATACTGAATCTGTGTTTTTTTTGTGAGTGAGTTGAATTAATGCATATTCATATTTATTTTAGAACTACAGTAACGTCTGATTTCTCTCAACATGGGGACAGGAGAGCTGTCCATCAATAAATTGGGGGGGAAAAGTAACTCAGATATGATCTTGTAAATTAAAAAGTAATGCGTTACTTTACTAGTTACTTGAAAAAAGTAATCTGATTACGTAACTCGCGTTACTTGTAGTGCGCTACCCCCAACACTGCTGATAACTAAAGCAACTACACTGCAAAAAATGCTTTTCTAGCTTAGATCTTTTGTCTTGTTTCCAGCCAAAATATCTAAAAATTCTTAAATCAAGAAGGATTTTCTAGACAAGTAAAATGGTCTTGTCTTCAGAAAAAACAAATAGAATTGAAGTGAGTTTTTGCTTGAAACAAGCAAAATAATCTGCCAATGGGGTAAGAAAAATAATCTTGTTTTCTGTTTGAAATAAGATTATTTTTCTTTACTTGTCTAGAAAATCCTTCTTGATTTAAGAATTTTTAGATAATTTGGCTGGAAACAAGACAAAAGACCTAAGCTAGAAAAGCATTTTTTGCAGTGTAGTTAATAATATGTTCACTAAACTAAAGTGTTACTCAAAACTTTTCTAAGTTTTTAAAATTCTTATAAATACGCAATTCACCTGCCTCAGTTACACAAGTAGGCTATCTCCTTGTTCAACGCACAGCCTATCTACTAAAGATAATATAAGCATCTAAATATAAAGTATACACATTTTACAGAGATTTGCTTTATATATATGGCAAATATCAGCATTTGTGCACTCACTGGACAGCAGGTGTCGCGGTATACTCTGAACAGTCTTCCAGAAGCATTAGTTTCATTCGCTTCTAGGCTTTAAAATCCATTTCACAGTTGATTCAAGACAAAAGAATGGATTTATTTTTATTTGGATCGTTTATCTATTGCCATAGCGAGTACTAGTAGATCATCTTACGTTAGTAGGGGGGGGAAAAGACCCTGGGTTTGCCTAAAACACTCCCATTACGGAAGAGGGTGGAGATTAAATTCCACACACTTAAGCAGCATCAACTTGTCCGGGTTTGGGCAGTCTCCAGAAGAAAAAACCGCTCGTTTACAATGAATTTTTCGGGATACGGTGCACCGGCTGCGGGCGGGGTAGGATTTATCAGTGCTCTGTTCATTATCTGAATTCATACGCTGTACAATTTTATACAGAACGTTTGGTAAAGCCTGATGTCAAGCAATGCTTATGCTAACATAGTGTGATCAGGAACTTGTTTAATGTTGTTTAAATTGCCACAGGGTGTAGTCTATTAGGCGATGGCTATGATCTTTATCTTACAGTAGGCGCTGAAAAAGGAAAGTGTTAATATGTTCTATGGCGTTTAAAGCTGTCCTGAAGGGTTGGTAGAATAAATATGGCATTTAAGTAATTGTTGCTGGTCTGCCTACCTCTGGTTTACTGTCTAAACACACTTGGTTTTAATCAGCAGATTAGTACAGTAAGCCTTGCCCAGAACTGGGTGTGTCAGAGACACGACTGTAGATCAGTGGCCCCAGTCCTGACCCCACAGCATTGCGCATTTGATTTGTTTCTCTTATCTGACACACTCAGTCCAGTTCTCTCTTAATGGGGCTTGTGATCTGCATTTATTGTGTTAAATAAGAAAGACATAGAAAATTTGCAGTGCTGTACGTGTGCCCAGGATTGTAAATCACTGTAGTATATCACTAGGTCGGCCTTCCTGCAAATACCAATCACAATGCACTGGGTCAGCTGGCCAATCAGAGCAGACTGCGCTTGTCAAAGGAGGGGGATTTGTTGAAAACGAAGCGTTTGAGAGAGGCGGGGCATAGAGGACCTACAATAATGTACAGTATTTGAAAAATAATGTGTTTTTTGAACATTAAAGCATGTCAACATGTTCTGTTACACCAAATACACCAAATAATGATCTTTAAAATAGCATCATATGACCCCTTTAACGTCAAAATAAAAGTGCCAGCTAAAGTACTAATTGGTAATATTCGGTTGGTGTAACACTTGTTAACTCATGAGGAAATCACAAACCACATTTGAGACACTTCCTGTTCACACGGTCCACTGTTCTATACAGTTCTGCTTTATTAATTATGAAAAAGTTCTTGCAGAGAGGCTTCATTTTAGCATGTGCTTTCTAAATGATATTGTTATTAACTAAATTTGTAAAAAATATTTGTATTAATACTTTGTGTAGACCTGTAAACAAAGGTTATGTAGACACATACTGAACCTGGAATAAGTGTGCTGTACTGTATACTTTGCAGTATTATTTGCATGATGTAAACTCAAAGCTGGTCTTCAGTCTTAAAGGGATCGTTCACCCAAAAATGAAAATTCTGTCATCATTTATTCACCCTCGAGATGTTCCAAAAGTTTCTTTCTTCTTTTGAACACAAAAGAAGATATTTTTTAAGAATGTTGGTAACCAAACAGTTGCCGGTACTTGACTTTCTTTTTTTTTCTTCTTCTCCATACTTTAAATTGAGTTCAGTCAAGTTCAGGGTTATTTAAACACTACCCTGAAAAACAAATGAATAAAAATTCACTGTAAAAATGTGGTGACAGTAAACAGTGATTCAAGTATTACATGATGGCATATTGATATTTTATAAAATGATATAATGTTAAAATACAAATGGTAAAATAGACAACCACGTGATGAAGTTTCATCTTAAGTGTCCTGTCCATAAGCCATAGCTGATTCTCAAATATATAGTATGCACAGTGCACAGGGTCAAATACACAAAGACAAAATGCCATCAGGGTAACACACAACATTACAAAAATGCAATAAACATTAATAACATAAAATGTAACACAAAACACCCTACCATAAACTGATTAAAAAATGAATACATAAAAAAAATAAGAATAAACAAAATGATATTTATAAAACAATCATGTCATGTTTGTCAACTTAAATTATTCAGTAATTCATTGTAACTTGCTAAAAACCATACATTTGACAGTGTTTTACAGTAAAATTACATGATGTGATGTTAAACCATTTACTTAAGGTACTTAAGGTAAGGTAACTTAAAATCAAGCAATTAACAAGTTTTTACTGTACCATATTTAAAAAAAAATTGTGTAAAAAACAGTACAGTATAGTGTTCTCCTAGGTATACAAATTAAACTTATAACAGAAATATGCTTTTAAAATTTACAGTATATATATATTTTTCTGAGGAAAAATTTGACACATATCGATGAATCATCTTGCATTATATTTATAAAACAATCATGTCATGTTTGTCAACTTAAATTATTCAGTAATTCATTGTAACTTGCTAAAAACCATACATTTGACAGTGTTTTACAGTAAAATTACATGATGTGATGTTAAACCATTTACTTAAGGTACTTAAGGTAAGGTAACTTAAAATCAAGCAATTAACAAGTTTTTACTGTACCATATTTAAAAAAAATTTGTGTAAAAAACAGTACAGTATAGTGTTCTCCTAGGTATACAAATTAAACTTATAGCAGAAATATGCTTTTAAAATTTAGTATATATATATTTTTCTGAGGAAAAATTAGACACATATCGATGAATCATCTTGCATTTCGGCATTTCCAAAAAATAAAAAATAATAAAACATCTCTCTAATAAGAATGTGCCTCTCCCTATTTACCAGCATTTACAATGGCACTAAAATCAACTTCTTTCCCCTTCGTCTGTAGTATCCAGGTGGATTCCCTGGACAGCAGCAGGACCCTCTGTATGGATACTTCACTGCAGTCGCTGGTCAAGTAAGAGGGTGTTTCATTTCTTCAAAAGTTATTGCATAGAAATTCTGCTGAGATTAGCCTATACACATCAGTCTTTCTCATAGAAAGTTTAAATTCATTACATGCTACTTCTTGTTTCATTCTGCTGAACAATCATGAAT